GGGGGGGGGTTGGGGGATGTTTACAGCCTGCATGCAGTGGCTGTATTGGATATACACTTAGCACCCAACAGTTAATTGGTATCTTTGAAATCATTCTTCCTCTGGAGTAATGTCCTAAGTAGAATCAAAAGGGGCTGCCAGCTCAGTGTGGTTTTAATAGCTTTTTTAAACCTGATTTTTAAAACTGGGAGTTTTTCCTCTATTTTGTAGTCACAATAAAAAGTTACTGAAGTTAATATGTCTTTATGAATTTGGAAATGTTCTGGCTCTGCAATAAAAATTGATTTTCCATCAGAATTAGAGCACTGTCATCTACTTATACTCTGTTGCCATTTAAGTTCAGATTAGAGGGAATTTATTGTAATCATGTACATACAAGATGATAGGCTGTAAGTAACATAATTACCCTATAATGTAGCGTTAGGAATGGATTACTTTTGATTAAATTAGAATAGGACCTCATTGGTACTAATTGTGTCAGGTTGAAATAGCTACTTATTAAAGTTGAACAAGGTTCTTAAAAATGAATAGGTTATTTCCATTATGGGGGTGGTTTATTGGAAGGAAAGAACCACGGATGCCTGGCGTAATTCCAGGGAACAAACAGTCTCCTTGAAATTGTGCACCGTGGCCTCGCGGACATTCTCAGGGCAGCATGCTTGCGGGCAGGTTTGGAAAGGCATGCCAGTGTGGCCTTAACCAGGGACGGGTTTACGCGTTCTCCCTGGTAATGGGGGCTGGGAAAGTGCTGTTTGGAATAGTACGGTGAACCTGTTCTGGTTGGTTTTGTAGTAAACCTATGGGAAAGGGAGCTTATGCAAAGAGGTTTACCTTTTGAGAACGTCTCTTTATTTGTTAAGTCAGAGTATTTGTGGGGGGAAGTAATGACCAATTTATCCTCAGAGACAGCCTTCTCTCACTTTTTTCTTTTTGGCTTAAGACCCTTAGCATTTTTCGGTACATTTAACTGAGAATTATTTTTTGTGGGAAAAGAAACTGTTAGAAATCATTGCAGTGAATAGCCACTGCCCTTTTTAAACTAACAGAGCAACAGACAGAGCTGTTGGTGATTATGGCACTTAAATTCTTGTGTTTGCTGATCGTTTTATTTTTATACTATTTCCAATACTGATAAATACGATATAAAGTGTGTAGATTTATATATGGAAACCCAGCAAACCAGAGGTTAGGGCTGATAAATCTAGTGTAGCAGGAGCACGTTGACTGTTGTATTTGAGGGCGTGGACCGATGTTCAGAGGAAGTCTTTGTTTCACTGTGTTGTAAGTAAAAACGATGCCTTGGCATTTGTTCAGTGAACACTTGGCTTCTTTTTCTTCTTTAAAGGTCTGGTTGCAGTAGGAGAAAGAGCACAAAAGAGATCTGGGAACTTCTCTGCTGCAATGAAGGATCTGTCAGGTGAGAGTACATTTTGGAATTTCCTCTTGCCCCAACCCCACCTTGAGTTCATAATTTGTTGCAAAAGATGTTGGAAATATTTATAACTGGTCATTTTTTCTCTGCAGGCAAACATCCTGTGTCTGCCTTGATGGAAATCTGTAATAAGAGAAGGTGGCAACCACCTGAATTTCTCTTGGTCCATGATAGTGGCCCTGATCATCGCAAACATTTTCTCTTTAGGGTAAATATGAATTTCTGCATTAATTCATACATTTATTAATGTGGTGACTTAATGGTAGAGGGTGATGGATAAGCAGTATATGGTCACCGGATGAATACACTGAGCTTGGGTTGGGGATGTGTGTGGTCTGGGTAGAGCGGTGGGGTTTCTGAGCACTGAAGGGAACTTTAACGTGACCTGTAGTATCTTGGAGGGAAAAGATGTGGGCAAAATCTGGCAGATAATTTGATATTTTATAGTAGAACTTGGGGAATTAATTTACTTTTATCAGGAAATTGTTTTTTTCATTTGGAGACCTGCTCTTAGTTTTGCGGTCCCCTTTCCCAAAATGATTTGCGTCTTCTGGGTTGGTATTAATTTGACTTACATAGTATGGGTTGTATAGTTGTGTAAATTATTTTTCTAGCATTTAGTGAAAAAATACAAAGCTAATAGATATTAAAGTTTGATGCTGTTCTTATTGTATGTTTTTCTTGAATAGGTATTGAGAAATGGAAGCCCTTACCAGCCCAATTGTATGTTTTTCTTGAATAGGTATTGATAAATGGAAGCGCTTACCAGCCCAGCTTTGCCAGCCCTAATAAGAAGCATGCTAAAGCCACAGCAGCTACTGTGGTTCTTCAAGCAATGGGCCTTGTACCAAAGGACCTCATGGCTAATGCCACTTGCTTCAGGAGTGCCTCACGTAGATAGATTGAGGTTTTATATAATCATTTCAGATAATTTTACTCTGCATCAAAATGTATTTCTCCTCCTTAATGTTGTAAATATTTGGCAATTTAAGACACTGTGTAAAAAGCAATCTGTACAGACATCTCCAGGCTTTGATTTTTGTACCATGGAAATTGTATTTAACCACACAGGGTTTTGGTATGTTTATATTGTTTACCTTAGTGGTGTATTTGTTTAAGTGGCTAACATCCAAACAATCGATTGTTTGAAGGCATCAGTAATCTTCAGTGTGGAATGTGAAATAACGCTTTTATACTGTCTTTTGTACTATGCTGTAACTCCTCCCCGTGGCTAGGCTGCTGTAACACCCGCCGGTAATCACTGAGGGGCTGTGCACCTTGTACTGTTTCACAATGGCTCTGCTGGACAGACGCTGGGCCAGTGTTAGCGAGGTGATCAAGCAACGTCGGTTCCAGAGGGCTAATGCCACCACGTCCCCTTCAAGTTTGTGTAGAGGCTCTCAGAAGAACAGTGGTGTGTTGCGTGGTGGTCAGCACTAAGTCCTGCATTCCTGTTCACGCCACTCGGGCCATCAGAAGGGAGTTAGAATGAAGCCTGACTAGAGTTCCGCAGAGGCCGAGTACATTTAGTTCGGCACCGAGTTGTGATACAGTTTTACTTTGCTGTGCATTTTGAATTTCAGCTACACCTAGGTAGATGAAAAATGATAATTAAAGTGCTGTAACCAACTTATCTAAGAAATCGGCACCCAGCCATTATTTTGTTGACTATGAGAAAGTTAAAGTTCATGTTAATTTTTAGGGTCTGATGATAGACTATTTCATGTGTATTACAGTGGTATTCATATGCTGTGTCTCTAAACTTTATTTTCAAAAGCTTAAGGCCCAAATACAAACTTCTCTGGAATAAATGTGGTGTTTTATTTTTTGGACTATCAAGTGAACACATACTGTTTCAAATACTATTTCTTTTCCCAATGCCTGTGATTTCTGAGCACTTTTATTTAAGAAAAATTGAATTATACACACACACACCTCTATAAGCACATTAAGTACTATTTTGCCAACTTTCAAGCTGAGCATACAACACTTCTCTATATGGAATACAAAATACCCTTTTCTCCGGATTAACAAGCATTAAAAAAAGATTTAAATATATTTGAGAACAGATGGATTTTAAGTCAGTAGGAAGCTAAGGCAGAAGCATCAACGATCAGCCCACTAGATATTTTCTACCTTTATGAAGGAAGAACCTGTAAAATTATTATTAGTCTTAGGTAAATTGTTAAATAATTGGCCCTGATGGCACTGGTCACTGTACCATGAGATAACGGCTCCACTCTCTCAATGCAAAGACTGACGTCAATTCAGTTTTCTACTTGGTTTATAACTAGGTTGTAAACATCCAGAATTGTCATTTGAATTATTTGAAGTTTTTTTTTTTTTTAAGTTTTTTGAGTTATCTTCATATTTGAATAATCTGAAAATAGTACAGTAGAAAATGTTGATTTAAGACCTTAATCCTTCTCAATGACAACCAAATAATTTAGGGGGAAAAAAAAATCCTGTTTAGTGCATGTAATAAAAAGTTTACATTTACAAACATTTGAATATTTTTAGCTACATTCCTTTCCTTTAGCTTCCAAAATGAACTTTAAAGCCACTCTAAAGAGTCTTGAATCTCCTGCTAGAAGCTTTTCCTCCAAGTCTCTTTCAGGCTTACTTGAGTGTTGAGGATCTCCAGTTACACACGTAGTCACTCATTTCCATGTGCTGTAACGATGACTTCCCCAGGAACGGCACTTGACTAAGTTGGTCCAGAGTCTTAGGATGCAACCCACAGCTGGCAAGCTCCTTGTGCACAGTCTCCTGCAGAAATTCATATCCAACTCGGTATGAAGCACATGGGTCTTTGAACACTGAGCTTTCAATAATTACCATGGGAATCTTTTTGGATTCACGTTTGTAAAGATTACAGCCTGGGAAATGCTGGGAGGCAGTTCTACCCTTGTACAGGGTTGGTCTGAGTGGGAATCCACTCGACAGTATACAACATGGGCAATTCACCACATTGGAAGTCGACACTAGAAATTCTGCATAGTGACAATCCTAAAATACCGATGTATTTTCACAAATCTGGCAAACTGTTAAAAGTATGAGGCAATCTTAAAGGTCTTAATTCTTTATTACAACCCTCCAAACAAATTATGTTCAAAATTAAAGGCAAATATGGTTAAGAAAATACCCATACCAAAATGTGTTTCTGATTTAAAAGACGAAACTTTCACAAACCTTACAAGGAAGCAGGCACCTTGAATGAAGCAGGACTTTGAACTGGTTCATTCCAGTTCAAACTCCTGCTGAGAACTTGCATTTCTACCCCAGATACACTGAATCAGAATCTACAGTTTAACAAGATCCCTGGTGACTCTTACGTATAATAAATTTTGAGAACCACTGCTCTACTAGTTCTCAGAACTGGTCCCTAATCAGCAGCATTAGCAACTGCCTGGGAACTTGTTAGAAATGCAAATTCTCAAGGGTCTGAACCAGAATGAACCAGTCTGGAGCCCTGCCCTGAAGTTCTGGAACTAAGAAGACAGTGCAAAACAAGAACCTGCCTTTTTGGGAAAATTTTTTAAGTCACTGTTAAATGAGTACAAGAGCCCAAATTAACAAAATTTATCTCACCAAAGCAACTTACATATAGACATTATCGCTTGCTCTTAGTGATAAATGATTAAAACAAAGTCCTGCACTATGGTAACCTGCAACAAGGACCAAGTCTGGCTCCATCGTTAATCACTCTAACTTCCTGCAGCTGCTTAAGTACACCCCATTTGATGCGAGCAGTTAAAAAAAGAAGAAAAAGGAAATGCTATAATTAAATCTGTTTAAAGAGGTCTACTTACTTTATCCAGTGCTTTCTCCACTGGTGGGCAGATATTAAATACAGCAGTTGGCTCATGTGTATACAGTCCTGCTGAAAAAGACCCACCCTGTGAAGATCTGAGTAGCATGGTCACTGAATGTAGAGAATGAGGCATGACAGGACCTGTAATCTCCAAACTAAACTGATCTTTGTATCCAGAAAGAGCTTGCGTCTTCACATTTACACTTCGTGCCTTCATAAAATTTTAAAGAAAGAAAATTAATGACCACCATCTCTCAAGATAACAGTGCTTTTGTCTCCTAGCTAAAACTGTTTTCAACAATTTTTCATTTGTGTTTTCCTCTCTAACTTCGAGGAACAAAAGCAGTTTCTAAGATGTTAAAACAATTTGTTACGTAAAATGTTTAGTAAGTTCTCAAGATCTCCAACGTTGTTATGTGGTGAGGCGCCATCGGGTTGGTTCCGACTCATGGTGACCCTACAGGACCGAGGAGAACCAGCCCAGAGGGCTTCCAAGGAGTGGCTGGTGGAACTCAACTGCTGACCTTTTGGTTAGCAGCCGAGTGCTTAACCACTATGCCACCAGGGCCCCCATATCCTCTCCAAATTACAAGACATTCTGTTTAACTAAATTCTAGAGAATATAATTTTTTTCATACATAGTATCTTTTCTGATTTAATAATATACTTTTAATGCAGAATACTGGGAAAACGAGTAAATCATTTAATTCTAGTGGTGTTAATATTTAGTAGATATTTAGTATTTACATATATTAACTTTTTCAACAGTTTTGTTAACTTTTATTCTTTTCACTTATCCACCATCCGGTTTTTGAGATCTATATAATGTCCTTGACTATTATGTTCTTTTATTGGTATAGAAATGACACAAAATGAGATTAAGCAATGTTTCCTTAAATTAAAGGAAATTAACACCAGAATACTTTGGCTGCCAATTACACTTATTTGATAAAGAAGAATTTATTTTTATGTAAACCCCGACAAGTCTGTTTCATCAAGGAGGTTTCCACTGAAAAGAATGCAAAAACAAAACAAAAAACATGTACCAAAATGCTTCAAGGATTTAGCCGGCTATTAAAAAATAAAAGAATTTGTCCTTCAAAAACTGTGCCTCTTAAAAAGCTGGGTCATGGGTTATGGGATCAGTGAAGTGTTGAATTTGTCTCCCCCATTTCATTACCTTAAGCATCTGCATTGTGGCACCTCTGAAAGCTACGGGTGATAACAAGGTTGGCGGAAGTCCTGCCTGTGGACCCGAGGTGGCCACTAAACTCTTACAGCTGATCAAAAAATTGAGCAATGTAAAGGTGTTGGTTCCCTTCACCAGTACAACAGACTCAGGCCTGTGATCCATGTGCACTTCATGTTTCTCTTTACGCCTGAAGATGACAATCAAGGAAATTGCAAGTGCAAACCCCACACCTGTGCGAAAAGCAATCCTTCTTGATTCTGAATCACTTGGGCTTCCTTTTCTCCATTATAAAAAGAAAATACCCCTGGTACCCACTCATACTCACTGCAATAACATGGTAACTCACATTTTTAGATCAAAATGATTTCTCTTTGACCATTTGAATTTGCTAGAAATTGACACCTAACGAAGACTAATTCCTTCTCTGATCCAAAACACGCTGTTCCTCCACAAACAATCAAAATGAGATGTTTTCACTTTTAAAATAATAGCTTAGTAACTGTTCAGTTTCTTGGTGCTTAGGATTTGTCATTTAATGGAGAATTGATTTTAATATGATCTTAAGATTACAGTCCTATAAACTGCCACTCAGTGTGAAACTGCTCATAAATATGATTCAGTAACAGCAACTGAAAGGATACAGCTTGACAGAGTGCATGTCGGGTTTTTTAATTTTATCTTGCACACCCATCTCTTGCAGCCAGGAAAAACTTTCCTCTTCATCCTCATCACTGATTGCTTGCTCCCTAGGAAATTGCTTAGTTAGTTAGGGTTCCCATTCCACAAAGCTGTTGTTACCTGTACAGAACTGTTTCACAGCGTCTGTACGTCACTGGACGGCGTAAAATGTCATTGTAATCACATACTCCCCATGTCCCAAGCTTGTTCCAGATGCTTTCTTCTTATGGGCATTTTCTTTTATTAAAGGCAGAGAAAATTCAATACCTATGTTAGAAAAAAGACAATGTACCTGAGTTTTCTCTAATAAAATCTAAAAAAACAAGGTGTGTTCTACTTTTAGAGAGTACAAAAGCTGAAAATGCACGTTTTTACAATTGAAGGCAGTAGCTTCAAGTTTTTTAGACAGCTGCCCACAAAACACAAACGCACGTGCATGCACACGCATCTCCTTGAAACAAAAGGTTCAGGAAACAATACATATACTCACTAGACGTAATACTCTTTCATAAATTATACTCTAGTCCATTGCATTAAAAAAAAAAAAAAAATGCTGCTTAGGGGCACTAAATTGATTTCATGATGCACTAATGGTCGTAACCCAGTCTGAAAACCATGTTAAAGGGGTAATTTGTACTCTGAGTGACTTTCCACCCCAGTATGTGTTTACTCGAGAGAGCAGAGAAAGGGAACATTATTTACTTACAGCTACAGTAAGGGACAACTAAACACTGAAACAAAAGCATAAATTAAGAAATAAGACATTTCTTAAAATACTGTTGGTACTCAATGGATAAAAGACAATTCAAATGACTTAACTTCTAAGGAAAGCTAAGTGTTTACCATAGAAAGTGTCAACTCGTCACTTTAAATCTATATGTTTACCTTCATTTTTCATAGCTTCTCTTAAGCCTCTAGTTGTGGGAGATATGAGTGCTGTGATGACATCACTTCCTGCAAATCCTGCTGCCCGGAACAGGACAGTAAACTGATAGGTACAAACGTAGAAATAGGGGCAAAGTTTGGTTTTCAGCAGATTATACAGAGAAGTAAAGCTCACAGACCTGCGAAGCAAAAATCTTTCCATTAGGAGTTATTAAACATTTAAAATTTACTCACTTATATAATACCTGGTTTAAAACACAACACAAATATTACAGGTACTTGTTGGGATTGTTGTGGTTACATTCAACTTGGCTTTTAAAGGACGGACATTGGTAATGGGGACTGACTAATGATTCCTAACAGATAGTGTCTGACACTTGAACGTGAACCATTGTTTTAAAAACAACACTTAACTGGTTGTTGACTTTCTCTGAGCAACTTGTGTTGATGGGCACTCACTGACAGGAACGAACACTAAAGAGTCATGTCTGTCTGTACGTAGAAACACTTACACACGTTCCGCAACACTGAAGAGTCACGTCTGTCTGTCTGTACGCAGAAACACTTACACACGTTCCGCAACACTGAAGAGTCA